CTGATGAGCATTTGGTTATTAATGAAGACGCCTATAAAGAAGCACGTATCAACACTAAAACACAGTCGGATCGAAATACGCCTTCGCACTGACCGAGAGCAAGGGTATGGTAGGAAAACCGGCGTATGAGCGAGACACAAATGCGTAATGTAAAAAAAGATCGATGTGAGCCTCATGGTTTGTTTTACTAAACTACGGAAAGCAATAGGAGGATTGCCCGCGTAAAAAGAAAAAAGGCCTCTGCAACGGAACTCGGTGTTTAATGTTGGTTTTTACGTTTATCTCTTCTTATTCTTATAGGGAGGTCGACCGTAAGCAGTATAACGGACCAACCTGACTTTACCTCTGACAATGCGGGGTTTGATGTGCCGCGCGACGAGACGCAGGGGTTTTGGATTAGTAATAAACGTGTTCAGAGCGAGTCTCGCCTTCTTCCGTGCCTCGGCTCACGTTTCTACTGATCGTCTGCTTGTGACTGTTGCTCCTTAACGTCTGCCTCATCCGTTCAGATCTTCCGCCTTACACATCGCCCCACGCCACATAATTTGGTGGCAGCGGTGGGATTTCTAATTGGGGAGGAAGCAGAAAAATAACTCAGCCGTCGTTTGTTCAACGCCTAATACGGTGACGAAACTGGAAGTAGTGGACACTTCCGACTCCTTGGCTGGCTGTGCTACCACGATGGCTGCAGAAGATCCAATTCCACCCACCTGCGTGCCCAAAATTGAGGTGAACGCCGACGTCGACCGCTTGAAATGCGCCCCCCAGGCCAACCCCTTCCATCCAGGGGATGATTCCTCCATTTGGCAATGCCAAACTCAGTGTTTTCTTCGTGGATTTTCCCCCGGGAACGCAATTTCTGACTTAATCTCCCTATTGGCCGACTCGGTTCTGTGCCAGTTGATGATCACGGGAATCCGACTGGATGCGCCTCCGGACGATCTTTTCGCAGAACTTCAATTGCTATTCGATCATCGCCAGCCGCCGGTGTTAGCGCTAGAGG